CCTGAATATGCGCTGCATCTGCTGCCTACTTATACTCATGCTGTGATCAGCAGCAGCTGGATGCAATAATCGCATGCCGATGTGCATTGGCTCGTTTAGTTTACACTCGAAGTAGATTGGTCCCTCTAAGCGAGATCCCAATTCGTCGGTCCTCCGACGTGACGTCTCTGTTCCCTCCTTCAGGGAACGAGGGTTACATACGTAACCGAGACGTTACGCTATGTAATGCAAATGATAAAAGAGCAGTGATGAAGAGGATCCAAGTGAACAGCAGTTCCTTAATTAAACAGAATAAACAGAGACTACTAGGAAAACCGCAGAAAAACATTCTACAAAAAAAACACTGGACTGAACCTAACAGAGGCTATATATACACACACAGGCTGAACAAGATCAACCAGACACAGGTGGAAAGCAAACAACAAGAGTATGGGCAAACCAAGGTAAAACAAAAGAAAAAACACACAGATGAAACCTGACAATTGACTTGATTTCCAACAACCAACTAGTTGATTGATGTGGTTTACTGTCATATATGGTGTCTTATATGCATCAGTATTGTGACAACCCAAATTACATTTACAGATGAACCAAAAAAAAGATGGAAGGCAGGTGAATAGAATATTTGTTGGTTTACGGCAGTGTTTGGTTCATGTATGGTAGCCTACCTAATCTATTGGAAGGGTTTCTTTTGAAAAGAGCCCGCAGTAAACTCTGGACTTCTGGGCTGAGGAACTGCGGCATGCCAAGTTTTGCCCTGAGAAAAAAAAAAAAAGAGACCATTAAATCTGTTATTTATTTAGGAAAATAAATGAGACTGTGATGCATAGCCACAAACATCACAAATCATCTTGACACATTCATTTGTGAGGACGAGTTTAGAATTACAAATCTTTAAAACACACTCACACACACATGTTGTGTTTTCATGTTTTATGGGGACATTCCATAGGTGTAATTGTTTTTATATTGTACAACCTGTATGTGCTATTGCCCTACACCAACCCTACCCCTAAACCTACCCCTTACAGGAAGCTTTGTGCATTTTTACTTTTTCAAAAAACTAATTCTGTATGATTTATAAGCTTGTTTCCTCATGGGGACCTCAAAAATGTCCCCACAAGGTCAAAATTGACTAGTATTACTATCCTTGTGGGGACATTTTGGTCCCCAGAACGTGATAAATACCAGGTACACACACACACACACACACACACACACACACACACACACAAAAACACTAGGCTGTCAGAAAATGTACAAATACAACAATAATTCTTACTTGAGAATAAGTGCCATTGTCTCTTTGCGGTCTTTGCCTTGAAATGGCAGGGATCCAGTCAGCATTTCAAACTAGGAACAGTAATAGAAGCATCAGGCTTTGCTCTAGCAAGTTTATTTATGGATGATACAATAAGAGAAGTGTGTATTCAGCACTGCCGCACAGTAACAGAGCGTACTGCAACCAAATCTGTCTCAGCGTGCTCACTCTTATGTAACACTTTTCCCTGTGAGTGAATTCGTTTAAGGCTGGGTTCTGCTGTTCTGCTGTGGAAGTGAGCAAGTTAAATGGGCTGGAGTTTTAAAGAGAGTTTCCACAGCAATTCCACCAAACAACAAGTCAACAAGTCATTATTTTGATTAAACAACAGTGTTTTTTTAAACAATACACATTATAAAGTATTTTAAGAAAAAAACATGATGTTAATTTTTATAATATCTTGACACCTTCATGCCTTATATTGGCGTTTAGCAGATTAGAGCTGGGTGATGATGTAGTTTAAAATGATCTAGAACTTTGAATCCAATAATAAAAGTTCCTATCAACAGTCAGTATGTCCTGCATTCACTGTCAAACTGTTAAAGTGTTAATTTGGTTAATTTCTGTACCACAAAATGCCACCCCCTCAGGTTGTCCCATCCAAACTCAGTTATTTTGCTGTGTTTTGTCCGGCAATGGGTCAAGGTTTGGCTGCTTAGCGTAGTCCAATAAGCCCCCGTTGGTAGATTTGTTGGGTGCAGCTAGTCAAGCATAAATTACTTCACCTTAAACATTTTTAACTAGAAGCTTCTTCCTTTTAACTGTTCAGCATTAGTCACAAGCTCTTTAAAGTCAGGTGTCGTATCCACCTGAGCTCTTGATACTTATAAGTGTGCACCTCTTCAAAAATGATTTGCTCCAACATTGGCTGTGAGTCAATTGCTTCTGAGGAAATGGAAATTCTCAAAGAACGTACCCTCATCTAGAAGCAGTTACCGACAGCAGCTCAAGGCATTAAAAAAAGGTGTTTTTGCCTAAGCAGATCTTTTTAGAATTAATAGAAGAATATGTGGCCCAGTGCAGCAGCAAGAAGAGATCCACTGATGCATATCTTGTGAGGAAGTGTCCAATAAAGATCATTTATAGACCTATTGCTAAGTGTTTATGAAATGATCAGTGCTTTGTTTGTTTAGTTAAAGGTTAGCAACTGATTTCACTCAAGGACAGATAATGAATATTCATATTTAACAAAGGTGACCAAAGTCAGGGCTCGCAAAATTTCAAAATCCCTGGTAGCCCTTCGGACAGGCATTCTTCAGATTTTGGTAGCCCAAAATGAATTAAACTAGCCCGAACAAAAATACTTCAGCTGAACTTCACTGCGGACAAATCAGCATGATCAAAAACTTATTTGATTGTATTTTTTTCTTCAAATAAGAAGCAAAAAATGGTTTTCAGGTACAGAAATGTAATAACTTGAACACTGCATAGTGTTCAATGTATAAATTAAATCTAGATTAGTCTTCATTAAAGTTGTGTTTTGTTTGATTAACATGATAGCCGTAGGTATTTATAGGCTGCTGTCCCTTTAAGACCGAATGCACAGATTCTATATAATGATACGCATGCGATTTCTTTCTCCACTGTTTACATTCACTTAAGACATAACTGTCTCTGTTCACGAGAATAATTGCAGAGACAGGTATTTTGAGATCCGTTTGTGTCCGTTCAGGTTCAAGGATACGCGAAAGATGAATCAATTCTGTGTTCGAACGCTGTCTGAAATGTGGCTCTCTGTGTGCGCGCTTTGAGAGCATGCACACAGAAAACAGCGCATGAGCGCCAAAATGAATTCTCTTTAGTCTCTTCATGTGCTTACATGGTTTAAAATGCTGGAATGCTTAAATTGGCAAGACTTAGAAACAAGTGCAAATGATCACCTACGATACGTTTCAGCACTGCAAGTGAGTGAACAACATGAATCAAAGAAAATATTTTATATCTTTATCACACACACACACACACACACACACACAAAAACACTAGGCTGTCAGAAAATGTACAAATACAACAATAATTCTTACTTGAGAATAAGTGCCATTGTCTCTTTGCGGTCTTTGCCTTGAAATGGCAGGGATCCAGTCAGCATTTCAAACTAGGAACAGTAATAGAAGCATCAGGCTTTGCTCTAGCAAGTTTATTTATGGATGATACAATAAGAGAAGTGTGTATTCAGCACTGCCGCACAGTAACAGAGCGTACTGCAACCAAATCTGTCTCAGCGTGCTCACTCTTATGTAACACTTTTCCCTGTGAGTGAATTCGTTTAAGGCTGGGTTCTGCTGTGGATATTTAGAAGTGAGCAAGTTAAATGGGCTGGAGTTTTAAAGAGAGTTTCCACAGCAATTCCACCAAACAACAAGTCAGATCAAATTTATTTTGATTAAACAACAGTGTTTTTTTAAACAATACACATTATAAAGTATTTTAAGAAAAAAACATGATGTTAATTTTTATAATATCTTGACACCTTCATGCCTTATATTGGCGTTTAGCAGATTAGAGCTGGGTGATGATGTAGTTTAAAATGATCTAGAACTTTGAATCCAATAATAAAAGTTCCTATCAACAGTCAGTATGTCCTGCATTCACTGTCAAACTGTTAAAGTGTTAATTTGGTTAATTTCTGTACCACAAAATGCCACCCCCTCAGGTTGTCCCATCCAAACTCAGTTATTTTGCTGTGTTTTGTCCGGCAATGGGTCAAGGTTTGGCTGCTTAGCGTAGTCCAATAAGCCCCCGTTGGTAGATTTGTTGGGTGCAGCTAGTCAAGCATAAATTACTTCACCTTAAACATTTTTAACTAGAAGCTTCTTCCTTTTAACTGTTCAGCATTAGTCACAAGCTCTTTAAAGTCAGGTGTCGTATCCACCTGAGCTCTTGATACTTATAAGTGTGCACCTCTTCAAAAATGATTTGCTCCAACATTGGCTGTGAGTCAATTGCTTCTGAGGAAATGGAAATTCTCAAAGAACGTACCCTCATCTAGAAGCAGTTACCGACAGCAGCTCAAGGCATTAAAAAAAGGTGTTTTTGCCTAAGCAGATCTTTTTAGAATTAATAGAAGAATATGTGGCCCAGTGCAGCAGCAAGAAGAGATCCACTGATGCATATCTTGTGAGGAAGTGTCCAATAAAGATCATTTATAGACCTATTGCTAAGTGTTTATGAAATGATCAGTGCTTTGTTTGTTTAGTTAAAGGTTAGCAACTGATTTCACTCAAGGACAGATAATGAATATTCATATTTAACAAAGGTGACCAAAGTCAGGGCTCGCAAAATTTCAAAATCCCTGGTAGCCCTTCGGACAGGCATTCTTCAGATTTTGGTAGCCCAAAATGAATTAAACTAGCCCGAACAAAAATACTTCAGCTGAACTTCACTGCGGACAAATCAGCATGATCAAAAACTTATTTGATTGTATTTTTTTCTTCAAATAAGAAGCAAAAAATGGTTTTCAGGTACAGAAATGTAATAACTTGAACACTGCATAGTGTTCAATGTATAAATTAAATCTAGATTAGTCTTCATTAAAGTTGTGTTTTGTTTGATTAACATGATAGCCGTAGGTATTTATAGGCTGCTGTCCCTTTAAGACCGAATGCACAGATTCTATATAATGATACGCATGCGATTTCTTTCTCCACTGTTTACATTCACTTAAGACATAACTGTCTCTGTTTACGAGAATAATTGCAGAGACAGGTATTTTGAGATCCGTTTGTGTCCGTTCAGGTTCAAGGATACGCGAAAGATGAATCAATTCTGTGTTCGAACGCTGTCTGAAATGTGGCTCTCTGTGTGCGCGCTTTGAGAGCATGCACACAGAAAACAGCGCATGAGCGCCAAAATGAATTATCTTTAGTCTCTTCATGTGCTTACATGGTTTAAAATGCTGGAATGCTTAAATTGGCAAGACTTAGAAACAAGTGCAAATGATCACCTACGATACGTTTCAGCACTGCAAGTGAGTGAACAACATGAATCAAAGAAAATATTTTATATCTTTATTCAAGATAGCCCGTCGGGCAAGGCGGTGATGGAAATGCTGGAAATGGATATTAATATTCCTGAAATGGAAACTGAACTTTTCAAATGTTAATGTTTGAGCTTTTCATGTTACTGGCAACACATTGCAAAGTTTCACAAACTGTGTTTAAATATGGGATTGAATCTGAAAATGCAGTGTTTGACTGAAAAAAAAACATGATACTGTGTGTCAAAATAGATAAGTGCAATAAGTTTTGCTAACTAACAGACCTTGTTCTATGAAATGTGTATTGTGATAATTTACTCTTTATGCGATTCTGTGCATATATGCCTGAAAAAAAAGAAGTGCTGCTTCTTTTTTTCACGTTTTATGTTGCTGGCTTATGTTAAGCTGCTTTAAATTACTTTTTTCCCCATATACAGTGGGTACGGAAAGTATTCAGACCCCCTTAAATTTTTCACTCTTTGTTATATTGCAGCCATTTGCTAAAATCATTTAAGTTAATTTTTTTTCCTCATTAATGTACACACAGCACCCCATATTGACAGAAAAACACAGAATTGTTGACATTTTTGCAGATTTATTAAAAAAAGAAAAACTGAAATATCACACGGTCCTAAGTATTCAGACCCTTTGCTCAGTATTTAGTAGAAGCACCCTTTTGATCGAATACAGCCATGAGCCAGATCTTATATTTTGTGGCTGAAAACCCCCTTTTAAATCTTTGGAAAAACATCAAGATATAATTTTTTTATAAATCTATATCGCCCGGCCATATTATATATCTTTATACATTTACATTTCTGCCTTCGAGTGGAAAAAAAATGCAGTTCACAAAGTTAAATTCTGACTTTATAAGTTGAATGGAATGCAGCATAGCAAGGCTAGTTAATGCATTAAAATAACATTAAAACATAGTCTAACTAATGTAATGTGCTTAATAATTTTGCACCAAAATGGGCTGTGGGACCCCCACAGAGCTGCGGCCACATTATCCTTCAGCCCCAGGCTAGCGCTACACACACTCATAGCACTAAAACCGCAGCGCTCACAGTGCCCACTATGATCCTTCACAATCTGCAAGGACACTTACCATTAAGATGCCGAAGGACCACCAGTCAGCACTTTGAGTGTGACCTCGTCTATTGACCACCTCTGGGGCCATGTACTCGATGGTCCCGCAGAAGGAGTACGCTCGTTTGTCATGGTCGATTGCCTCTTTGCTCAGGCCAAAATCTGAGAGCGCAGAAAAGATATTAAACGATCAACATGCAGCGCCTTCAGTCGATGACACATATAAAGAGTTGGACCGTGTGGCGAAAGCAAATTAAGAAACTTCTGCTCACCTGTGATCTTTATGTGGCCCTCTTCATCAAGGAGAATGCTGGGAAGGTGAAGCAACAGCGGATTACATATAATTTCTATATTACTGTATTACTATATTACTGCTACAGAATTAAAATGAGATAGTGAAGACATCATATTCGTTCTTTGCAAAAGTACAAACCTCTATATATAAATAGCATTTTAAAAAGTAGAGTTTAGTTGCAGAACAACATCAAAACTTGCTATATTAACACAGTAATAAAGATTTATAATATTGATTTATATTCATTAAGATAAAGAAATAATTCTAATATAGAATTATGAATCTTTTTTATTTTGTATGCATTCTTTAAGTTACAGGTATTTTGTAATATTTGATTAAGTATTTAATTCACAAAATTATCCATAAAAAGACATTAAGACTGATTATAAAAATATAATACATTTTTACTGTTACTGTGAAACAGGATTTTGAACATCCCTACTGTTACACTATCTCTCTTTTTTTTATACTTATTTTTATTTAAAAACAAAAATGAATATCATTATTTGTACAGAGACAATGCTTTTTTCCCCAGATATCAATCTCTCTCCAACCAACCTAGAACAGATTGCCTTGGAAGAAATTAATCAGTTACAATCATTAAAAATTAATTAATACAGTAAAAAAGAACAGTAGTATTATATGTAAAGAAAATAATAACATTAAATTAAATTACATATAGTTAAACATCACAGTCAAGGATATCAGAGTTCAACACTTCCTTTAAACCTCTTGTAAGTGTGTAGGGGTGACAGGATTGAGGATATATTTTCTTAATGAATTTACTGGTGCAGTGTCCTTTGGATTGCCTCTGCCAATATGCCATTAATGCCAATATGCCAATATGCCATTAATCACCTATGACAGGTCTCAGAACAGCATGCCCTTAAGAGATATACTGTAGAGCCCTCCAGCGAGAGCTGCTCTCAGGCCACCTCCATTTTCACCTTCTCAGAAGGAATAGCTCTTCTACTGTACACAGTGTCCCTTTCATTATTTCCAGCAATGAATCGCCCACAAGAGTCAATTCAGAGTGCAGGTGAGCTTGGTTTGGGCCCATTGTTTGAGTAGATATGAGAGAGATAAGCCATGAAAGAGCATTACTGTGAGTGGGAGCACAAGAAGTATTATATTAAGGGGCTAGTAGTCGTTCATCACGGCTCAACAATAAGGATATTTTTCTGCTGGTCTAGGTCAGGAATGGTTCTTATGAATGAGATTGATTGTACTACTCATGTGGTTGCCTCATTTACTACAATAAATTCAACAATGGAAAAGCTTAATGATAAATTTATCCTTTTTGCTAAGAGATCTCCTAAGCACTCTCAGTAGACACGTTTCCATTACCCTTCAAATTGCGCTAATTGAAATGGCGAATTGAAAATACGCCTAATGGAAACGCGTCAATTTCGCAAAAACGCCCATATATCGCAAAAAAGTTTTTACGCTCGCATGAGGTGGTTTTTCAGGCAATGCGAAAGAGGAATAATTTGCAAAACTGCACTGGAAACGGCTTTTTCGCATTTACAGGTCACATGGCGTATATAAAAAGTCATATGATCATTCTTCATTGTACTGTAACCTCCAAAAAACACATCATACGTGGCCGCTCTCCAGTATAAGGGTCTTTCCTACCATTAATGCTTAGACAATTTACACTGCACACATCTGCGGTGCAGTGTGGCTCTGATACGGCCACTGAAGCTGATTGCGGCCACAATGCTTGTGTTTATTACAGAATCCAGCCGCGCCACGCACGTTTTGGAAGTGGCTCTCTGTGCTGCTTCTGTAAAGATACACGGATATGCCTCCTTTGAATAAATATAGCCAATATCCGTCAAAATCCCACCAAAAACTGTTGCCATGACTTATCGCGAGAGGCAAAAGGTTACGTTTTAGTCGCATAACATTGGTTAATGGAAACGCGGTCATTTCGCAATACTTTTTTATCGACGTTTATAAAATACCGCCAAAGTTTTGCGCAAATCTGTAATGGAAACGCGCCTAGTCTGTTGATAAACCAAACTATTTTATTTTTTGGAACACAAAAATCTCAGGCCTACAGGTGTGCTAGTACAATACTGTAGTACCAATACTGTATACATTATACACTACTGTTCAATAGTTTCGGGTCAGTAAGACATTTTCACGGTTTTAAAATAAGTCTCTTCTGCTCACCATGGCTGCATTTATTTGATCAAAAGTGCTGATTGATACATTGTACAATGTAATTTATTCCTGTGATAACAAATCTGAATTTTCCAGCCATTACTCCAATCCTCAGTGTCACATGATCCTTCAGAAATCATTTTAATATGCTGATTTCCTGCTATTATCAATGTTGAAAACAGTCGTGCTGCTTAACATTTTAGCGGAAACCATTTTTTTCAGGATTCTTTGATGAATAGAAAAATCTTAAGAACAGCTAAATAAAATACAAAAAAACCTTACTTACTGAGCCCAATTTATTTTTTATTTTTTTATCAGTACTGGATGTTGCTAGTTTTATAATGCTGTAATATTTAAAACAACCCAATAAATTAATGTAAAGATCTTACCTTTTGGGTTGTAAGCCAAGTATCCTAAGTTATCCTAAGAGATTTTATGGTGATTTTTTTTTTTAGAACTTTTAGAACTTTCATGTATCTTTTTTCTTCACAAAAACAATCAAACAAACAAACAATTCGCTACATATAATTTGAAATAATGGCTGGAAACTGCCCATCGTGTTACTCCAAGAAGGAAAACAATAACATAAACAATACTGATTTCCAATATTATCTAGTCATTCTCGCAAAACGCATCTAGATTAGCCAGCTACATAATGTTAAATGTGAAATGCTTAAATGAGCAGAAATCAGAACAATATTCAATACATACCCCCAAAATAAAATGTTTAAAGGGGTCATAGGATGCCCATTTTCCACAAGTTGATATGACTCTTTAGGGTCTTAATGAAAAGTCTGTAACATAGTTTGGTTAAAATTTCTCAATGGTAGTGTAAAAAACACCTTTTTTACCCTGTAAAAAACAGCTATTTTCAGAGCATGCCGTTTTGTAGCATTTTCCTTTGCTTCTGTAAAGATACACGGATATGCCTCCTTTGAATAAATATAGCCAATATCCGTCAAAATCCCACCAAAAACTGTTGCCATGACTTATCGCGAGAGGCAAAAGGTTACGTTTTAGTCGCATAACATTGGTTAATGGAAACGCGGTCATTTCGCAATACTTTTTTATCGACGTTTATAAAATACCGCCAAAGTTTTGCGCAAATCTGTAATGGAAACGCGCCTAGTCTGTTGATAAACCAAACTATTTTATTTTTTGGAACACAAAAATCTCAGGCCTACAGGTGTGCTAGTACAATACTGTAGTACCAATACTGTATACATTATACACTACTGTTCAATAGTTTCGGGTCAGTAAGACATTTTCACGGTTTTAAAATAAGTCTCTTCTGCTCACCATGGCTGCATTTATTTGATCAAAAGTGCTGATTGATACATTGTACAATGTAATTTATTCCTGTGATAACAAATCTGAATTTTCCAGCCATTACTCCAATCCTCAGTGTCACATGATCCTTCAGAAATCATTTTAATATGCTGATTTCCTGCTATTATCAATGTTGAAAACAGTCGTGCTGCTTAACATTTTAGCGGAAACCATTTTTTTCAGGATTCTTTGATGAATAGAAAAATCTTAAGAACAGCTAAATAAAATACAAAAAAACCTTACTTACTGAGCCCAATTTATTTTTTATTTTTTTATCAGTACTGGATGTTGCTAGTTTTATAATGCTGTAATATTTAAAACAACCCAATAAATTAATGTAAAGATCTTACCTTTTGGGTTGTAAGCCAAGTATCCTAAGTTATCCTAAGAGATTTTATGGTGATTTTTTTTTTAGAACTTTTAGAACTTTCATGTATCTTTTTTCTTCACAAAAACAATCAAACAAACAAACAATTCGCTACATATAATTTGAAATAATGGCTGGAAACTGCCCATCGTGTTACTCCAAGAAGGAAAACAATAACATAAACAATACTGATTTCCAATATTATCTAGTCATTCTCGCAAAACGCATCTAGATTAGCCAGCTACATAATGTTAAATGTGAAATGCTTAAATGAGCAGAAATCAGAACAATATTCAATACATACCCCCAAAATAAAATGTTTAAAGGGGTCATAGGATGCCCATTTTCCACAAGTTGATATGACTCTTTAGGGTCTTAATGAAAAGTCTGTAACATAGTTTGGTTAAAATTTCTCAATGGTAGTGTAAAAAACACCTTTTTTACCCTGTAAAAAACAGCTATTTTCAGAGCATGCCGTTTTGTAGCATTTTCCTTTAAATGTTAATGAGCTCTGCTGACCCCGCCCCTCTCTTCCGAGCTGCTCTCAGAGAGACTGTTTACTTTAGCCGCATTCAACGTGAAACTTGCTAATTAACACATTATTAGGAAAGGCGATTTGCAAAGATTCATTACAAAACATACTCACTTCTACTGTAGGTGAAGCTAGATCTTGAATGATTTGCGCGAACATAGACGCATTTATGTAGATGGGGCGCATTCCCTTCAGAAACAAACATAATCCACTGCATCTTCAGTGGCTCAGATGTCGGGAGTAAATGAGGACTGCTATGTTCATTATTACATCCAACAACAGAACACCTCAATCGCTTAGGAGTCATTCTTGTCTACATCTGCTCCAGCAGTGAAACAATAGAGGACTGATGAGAGCTCACTCAGGGCGGGTCTAAGGTAAGACGCCAGTCCAGTCTGTGCTGAAACGCTACTGTCAATCAAACTATCGTGGGAGGGGCCTGT